TGTAATTTAAGAAAAAGCCTTACGACTAACTTGGGTCATAAGACAAAATAATCTACTTAATACATTTCTTAACTGTGCACAGTCATAAGACATATAACTAATAATCTATTTAATTAGAACTGTACGGTTGACCAGAAACATCCATATAAAGTTTGCTATCTTTTCAACAATGTTTGACTTACTTATAATATATTTGCATAACTAAATATAACTCATCATCTATTAAATTAGAACTGTACGGTTGACCAGAAACATCCATATAAACACTATTAAGCTTATAATAAATAACATCTTATTTACAACATCAAACTATCAACATACATATATACAAACTAACACAGTCTGGTTGACCAAAGCAACCATATAAACACTAACCGGCATATAATAAATAGAGCACGTTCAATATTTCAAGACAATTTTACACTAATTGGTAATATTAATAATCGAATTTCTTATAGACATTGCGTTTTTACAGTATAACCCTAATTTATAAAGAGCAGTCTTATTTTCTGTTTGTAACAATTCTAAAAACTTATATACACTTGGTTTGATATAATAATAATTTTTTTACGTAAATCTGTATAGATAGGGCATATAATAACAAAGTGGTATTCATCTTCTAAATCTAGTGAATGGCAACATTGACAATATCTTTCGTTTCTAGGTATTCTATTTCTGGCAAACCTTCCAGTTTGAATTCTTAGAGCATGCGCTGAAATTCTTAATCTAGTGATGTAACATCTTAATGAACTAGGTAAAATATCTAAATATGCTTCGTATCCAAAAACATTTTTAAAGTTTTTATACAAATCTAACACTTCGCTACTTTCCTTATTTACATTCCATCCTTGTAAAAAACAATCTATCACTCTCTCCTTAAATATATATACAAAATTTTTATCAATAGCGCATGGATTGTCCCAAACATATGTAAATCCGAAGTCACATAATAGAGCTTTAACATTGCTCACCCAGTTTTTAAAACCTTTGTTACAATGTTCCAATGACATTACATAAACACGATTTAATATAATATTGTCACTATTTATTAATCTTAACCAATATTTTATCATGGCTACATAACGCTTAATATACAATGGGTATCTGCCCAATTCACCGTACACACCAACAGAACAAGTACTATTTCTAACCTTTAATAAATGTTTGCAAAATTTCAGATGGATTCGTTCAATAACTTTTGACTTTGTATAACCCCAAATTTCTGCTGCGTAGTTTAATATCGAACCAACAAATGCATCGAATAATTGACATAAAACTTTAGGCCTTAACTTAATCTTTTTACAATTAATCATTAATAAATTCAATGCCTTAAGAGCCTTTCCAGTGAGATATTCCTGATTTAGCGTAAAATTTCCAGTATAATGAAAAACAGTTCCTAAATAGTTAAAATCGTTCACTACCTCTAATTCTTTCCCATTATATGTCCAATGTTCATTTAACAATAAACCCCCTCTTTTTCTAAATACCATAATTTTAGTTTTTTCAGTATTAACTTCTAATCCCCATTTACTACAATAATCATACAATAGGTTTAAATTTTTCTGCAATTCCTCCTTTGACTTTCCTAAAATTACCATATCATCTGCAAATAATAACAAAATTAATACAATATCATCAATGACTAAACCAGAATCTACATCATCTTGCAAAAAAAGCTCTAAATCTTCTACGAACAGTGAGAACAAAATCGGTGACATTATCTCCCCTTGTTTCAATCCTACAGCGTACTCAAAATATTCCGAATAGTTATTACAATTTCTAACACATGACTTAACCTTTTGATACATGTCCCTCACTATTCTTAACAATTTACCCTGAATTCCATTATTATAGAGCTTTAACCATAGTGCACTTCTGTATATAGTATCAAAACATTTTTTCATATCAACAAATACGCAATATAATCTCTTATTTTCATTTAAATACTGTTGTACAACATTAAGTAATATAAATAAAGCATCAGTCGTAGATCGGCCTTTCCTAAAACCAAATTGTGCATCTGATATAATATTATTTTGTTCACAAAATGTTACAATTCTTTTATTCAAAATAGTGGTGAATAATTTCGAAAAACAACTAACGAGCGTAATACCTCTGTAGTTATTCACGTCATTAATGTCGCCCTTTTTATGTAAAGGGACGATAACTCCTTCAGTCCATTTTTCCGGAAAATAACCAGAATCTAAGATGGCATTAAAAATATCACAAACATGTGAAGATAAAATATCAATGCTTTCTATAATGTATTCATTCATAATATAATCACTACCCATAGCCTTTTCTCTTTTTAAACATTTTACACATTCTAAAATTTCTGCAACAGTAATGCGCTGATTTAATTGATCGAAATCGGCATTTGAACTATTAAAGTCATATCCGCTACAAAACTCTTCAGCTTCCGGGTTTGTGCATTGCGTAATATCATTGGCCAACTCCGAAAAATAACGTTTGAAATCGTCCGTAGAAATGTTATGTTTATTTTTGTTATTACGTTTAAAATATTTCCAAAATTGTTTAGGCTGTGCATTTTTTAATTTGCCGATTTCTATCAACTTTTTATTTCCAGCCGACTTACGTTTTTTATTACATAACTCTTTATAATCTTTTTTCAAAACACAGAATTATTCTCTACTATAACTAGATTTAAGCCTATTAAAAACACTTAACGCTTCTAGGTATCTCCTTCTAGCAAGTATACAATCATACTCGAACCACTCTGCATGATTAACTATCGGTTTATCAGTAAAATACGATGACTTATTGTTATAATTACATGACTTCGAGAACAATGGGTCCGCTACATCTATAATATCTTCTTCTTCTCTATAACAATATTTGTAAATTTGCTCAAAATATCGTTCACTGAATCCCTGCTTGTGATGTTAATATCATGTGTCAATCGATTTAACTCAGGTAATTTAGATATAACTCCTGCTCGAAAAGTATGTTTAAGATTCTCTTTCCATTTGTACCTGACCTCATTTTTTTACCTCAGAGACATCAACATAAAAATTACATCTCAATGTAAACAAAACAGGTGCATGATCGCTATATTCATTGAATGAGTCTATACAAAAATCACACAATAGGGGAAAGTCTTTATCTCTCGCCAACAATAGGTCAATCACGGACGCACCGTTTTTGTTAGCAAATGTGTACATACCACAGTTAAAATCATGGCCAATTCTACCGTTACAAATACGGAAACCGCTGGACCGACAAAGATCAAGCAATTTAGTGCCAGAACTGTTACATATATTATCATGTGAGGCCCGGAATAGGTACGTGTCGGGAACATAATCATCATCATCATCATCAATATTACTAATATAAGTATCACAAGTTATAAAGTCATTTTTTTACCCACTCTACTATTCCAATCACCTACTAAATATAAATGCCCTAAATCTTCAAAATCGTGTATATCATTTTGTAAAATATGTTTTTACTTCATCTGTACAAGCAGATACAAAACAACGCAGATTAGTTTCAAACATAGTTACGAATATTATACATATCCCATCGTCGGATACCCACGGCCGAACCATTATCATTCATCAGCCGTGGGATTTTTTGCCGATATTCAGTCGATTAGAGGTGTGTCAAAGGCAGCTATTTCATTGGCTGCCTCACGATTTCATGAGGCGATTAAAACCAATCAAAACGCTCGTTCTGTACGACGTTCGGTATTACAGACAATATTGTGACAACCATAGACGACGTAAAAAGTTTAACATCGAAAAATTAAACGATTATCAGCAAGAAAGTATAGATAATTTACTTTTACAGCGTGATTTTTTCTTTATGATTGATATCTGCTTGCAGAAGAACTGATTTGGCGATAGTTTTTGCCAATGATTTTAGCAAGACACGTGCAACAGCTTTTAACCGTGGGCGCTGCCATTTTTTTCTTATTGTTTTTTACCTCCGCTGTTGAAGAATATAGATTTGTTAAACGCGATGTCATTGGTAGATATTTTACGCACCTGTTGCTGTATATCGACGCAAATCGATTCATTTTACCCACGGTTGATTGCATGTTATGTGACATGTTTATCAATCGTGGGTATCCGACGATGTACATATCCTAGTAGGGTATTATTTTGAAAAAATAAAGTAGATTTTTTTTTTGGTTTTGTTTTCGTTAAATTTTAGCACACATTTTTGGGACAGAATATTTATTATTTCTATTAGTTGTTACAGATCAATATTATTTCCTAAATAAAGCAACAACGATTTTGTCATTTGCCGGCAATTCGCTCTATTAGTACAGATATACATGTACATGTATAATGATTAACACGTGTTATATAATTATTCTTTTTATCGTATATAGGCAATAACATATTATGAAGAATAAATTTATACACTTTTATATAAATACTTGTATCAGTAAATCGTTTATATATAAATGATTCAATTCTTGATATAGCAGCCGTAAGATATTTATTCAGGAAGACTATATATGTTATCTTTACCATTGGATACATGTTGCACCGGTGAACAGGAATAATATTGACTTATAATATAAAATAATGCGTTCATGACAGTATCTTGTAAAAACATTATCCACAAGCTTCATTGATACATCGAAATCACGTGATCTGTAAAATAAGAAACATAACTTATTTATGTTACTTAAGTTGACAAAGACTCTTTAACTGAGGCAACAGTCGCCAAAATTATGTCACATATATGTCAATAACTAGCCAAAATAGCTAGAACTCTTAGACTAAATAATCCAAGTCTGGTTAACTTTAAATATTGAATCATTCACGGATATTTTAACATTTCCAGATTCATTCACCATATCTCTTAATCGGACAAGAAAAGAAAAATATTCCAACCCTTGACCTCTGTTATAATATTACTAAATATCGGTGTAAATGGTCAGTATAACACCTTTAATCCTCTCATAAGGTGCGGTCACTATAATTCTAAATACAGTATGTGTCATGCTTGACCGGGCTGTGAAGCTAAAATGCCTTAAGGTATGTTCTTTTAGCAGTCAAAATGTTTGACCTTCTTTCTCAAGTTATTAAAACGTACTTCTGACCAACTTTACTGTTTGTGCTAACACTCTAATATTTATGATGTGGGAGTTATAAGAGGAAAAATGTGAACATTGGAAGGGAATAAACGTCACGGAAATAGTTACTAAAATTGTTAAGGACTGATTTAATGGAATATAATTCGTATAAAACAGGTACTCTCTTCTTACATTTAATCTTTAAATAAGAATAGCCAGATACATGTAAATATATTTATATATCTGTTGTCACAATATCACATTTTTATTTTGCTAAAACACGACCTGGAAAAAAATTGACAACATGTATACAAATGAAAATGCCAAAGCTTGTAATATTTAAACAATAAACTCTTAAAATTCCTAAATTTCTCCTTTAATTTCGTAATTTTTACGAAGAAAATAGTCAGGCAACACACCAGTGAAAATACGAAAAGATGTTTCACAGCAATGAAAAATAATTTTACAGTGAAAATACGGAAAATGAAAATACGCATTCTATTCATCAATATTTCTTTATATTTCATTCATCATTATATAATAAACGGTACGCTGTAATATATGTTACACTACAATATACGGTAAGCTGCAGTATACAGTAATATAAAGTAAGCTGCAGTATACAGTAATATACGGTAAGCTGTAATATATTGTACGCTGTAATATACGGTAAGCTGCAGAATACGGTAATATACGGTAAGCTGCAGTATACAGTAATATACGGTAAGCTGTAATATATGGTACGCTGTAATATACGGTAAGCTGCAGAATACGGTAATATACGGTAAGCTGCAGTATACAGTAATATACGGTAAGCTGTAATATATTGTACGCTGTAATATACGGTAAGCTGCAGAATACGGTAATATACGGTAAGCTGCAGTATACGGCAATATACGGTAAGCTGTAATATATTGTACGCTGTAATATACGGTAAGCTGCAGAATACGGTAATATACGGTAAGCTGCAGTATACGGTAATATACGGTAAGCTGTAATATATGGTACGCTACAATATACGGTAAGCTGCAGAATACGGTAATATACGGTAAGCTGCAGTATACGGCAATATACGGTAAGCTGTAATATTTTATTAGTTATAAAGATTCTTGACAGGTTATATGGCCCTATATAAAGGGTTGTTTGTATATATAACCCGCCCCGCAAGGCGAGGGTTACATTGCAAACAACCGTTTCTATTCGGCCATATAACCTGTCAACAATCTTTATAACGAATTTATAATTCTGCAAACTTCCTTTTTCAGAGAAAAAAGTGAGATTTCTGTATAAATTGACAGCAGCCGTGTATATAAAACTATATAAAGGTCACGATTATCCAATGAAAAGTGACGATACAAACGTGCAGTATTATAATGTACGCTGTAATATACCGTAAGCTGCAGTATATGGTAATATAAGGTACGCTTTAAGTAAAATATAACGGTAACCTACGGAAAGCTGCAGCATACGGTAATACACGGTATGCTGTGATAAGGTGCGCTTTAAGTATTGTGGCAGAATTAAGATGTGGCAGAATTAAAATGAATAAAGATGAATTTTTTTTTCAGATATGAAGGTTGCTTTACAGAAGTATCTAGAACGAACCATTTTGTTCGTATTGTGCATGTGCGTAATGTGTTTGCTAATACAGAACAGTTTGTTACAACAGTCCCGCACGGTAAGGCTATCTTTAAGCTATATAAAATACCGAATCTGAAAATGATTAGCCATGGCCACTGGCATAGAACTATGCACATTTATGCAATTTACCAAAACCATTTACTGTACTTCAATTTTTATATAATGGCATTGAAATCCCTATAACTTCAAGTAGATTGTTCAAAATTCAAAGCAGAACAAATCCCTATATTAAAGGTTAACTTTTCATACAACAGCCTCGAATAAATGATAGGGAAAAAAACAACAACAAAAAACAAAAACAAAAACTGACATTCCTACATAACAAATGCGATTTTTATATTATTATTCAACGTGATGCTGTTTAAAATAATTGTAAATAGATTATAGATCTACAAAAATATATGATACAACTCTTGTCAACAAAAATAAATTGACTGTAAAAATAATAAAATAAATTAAACGTCTAAACTATAGGTTATGTACACCAGGATGTTGTAAATTATTTAGATTAAAGGTGTAAACTATTCGGCAATTGTATCATAATAAAACTTCGTCTCGGTAAAATAATGTGTCATAATTTCTTACTTAACTACCCAGTGTCAATTTGTTATCGAAGTTTGATCACTAGTTCCACTTCGCTGCCTGAATTATAAAACTTTGTGTAATGTCATGTCCGTCACAATTGAACTATTATTACCATGCAATATTAAATATTGTATTTATTATTTACTTTATTCAGGTAACTTCGACGTTGAAAAACGTTAAGCCTATTTTAGTTTTAAGTTCAATAAATCTCTTACTCGTTCTTAATAAATGAACATCTAAGTATATTTGTTTTATATATTATGGAAGGTTAAAAAGTATGTTTGCCATAATCAATGACATTTAGTTTGTACAGATTAAAATGCGCATATTTGTCATTCAAAAGCAAGGGAAAGAAATGTATTTTTTTTCAAATGCAATAACTTTGTCTGTAGTAGATCTTCTTTTTGTTTGCAATATACATAAACATTAAGAATTTGATTAAACGTTTGTAGTATTTTTTAGGAATGTGTCATGTTTATCATTGGTGATTATGTACTAACGTATAAGTCTAATAAAATACCTTCTCTGTTCTGTCTGAATGAAATGAATTATTTTGATTGATGGACAATTATATTTTCATTTCTTTTTAAAACTTGGCATCCAAACAGTTAGATTAAATTATTTTAAGTGAAATTTGTTCAGGTTTAAGACATTTTTAGACAATTTTGTCATAATGTAAACCGCAAAAATATATACCTTTTGTTTTTATTTTAGGGCTATCTAATCATTCATCAGAACGGTGAGTCGTTCCGGGTGAGGTCTAGGAAATATTTAGAGACTGATACATTAACAAACAGTGGTCAACATCTTGCTTATAAACGGTCTGATGAAGATGATAACCTCACAACTACGCAATCACCGTTTCAAGATACTTTACTGCAATGGCGCCAATATGAAAGAGAGGCTCTGGCTGTGTTTATCTTGAGCGCCATTGGCTCAAATTCTACAACAAAGGGAGGCTACAAACGTGAAATTAAATTGAACGGTTGGGAGGCTATGAAGCACCGGTTGGCGAGCATCAAGTGCTGTGTTTTATGGAATACTGATAAATTTTCTTACTTTAAAGATCCTGAGAAAATATTCTGGAAAAGTAGCAGATTAGCTGCAACACAATTTACATGTCCCATTCGAGGACCTTTAGTAGACGTAAGGGGTGTAACTCTTGAGTTCAGAAAGAAGCCATGTCCGAGGGACGAATCTGTGTATGTGAAACCATTTTTGCCAAAACTTCAACCGAAAGAATCATTTGCAATTTGTGTAAAAATAGTTTACGGTGTGGTAGATATGAAGCTGCTGGTAGACTGGATGGAATATTACCGTGAAATGAAAGTAGACAAAGTATTCATGTTTACGTATAATTTAACTAGAAACATAGAAACAGTTCTACAGCATTATACAAATACAGGCTTCTTAGAAAGAAGACATTTTGATTTTCCATGGAAGAAAGATGGTTGTAAGTAAAAGTTTTTCGTGTATTGCAAGTCTATCATACAGGTTTCTTTATCTTCTCCACTTCAAAACAGGATTTCTGAATAGTAGTCACGTTTTTGGATAACTAATTGTTTGGGGTCTTGTAATATATAAATCTGAATAAAATCAGCTGCTAATTAGAGGCATTATGTTATACAGTTACCTAAATGATTCTGTAAAATGTTCTACCATTCCTGAATCAGAGTCTAATTCATTTACGTCAGTCCGTCCGCGGACTGTTATTAACAGAACAGAAAAAAAACGGGGCAAAAGATGTTATTTAAAATGAAAATAAGTGTTCTTGGACTATTACATGTTTGTTAAATGAATGGTATAATTTTAAGCATTTAAAATCAATACAAACAATTATTGCTAGTATTTAAAACATTTGGCGCAAATTGACGTGTTTGATTTTTAACAGTCAGCTTGATGTTTTTAGCCTTGCTTATCACTTACCACACAAGCCTAACCTGAACAAGCACAATATTGTTAGTTATACTCATCTGTTTAAGATTTTCTTTTTAAAAATCTTAAATTTACAATTAAACTTACAAATACTGGACAGAAAAAGTAAGTATTTTAAATACACAAAATAATCAGGCCGAACATACTTCGGAATAAACTGAAATTTTAGAGTTTCAATTGACATTTGTTTATTCCAGCTAACAATTTATTACTAATAAGTTGTGCATATTTAAATTCCATAATTAGGTTTAATTTAAATGATTTTATGTAAAAAATGATTGTTCGTATTTCCCCACCCTTATCATTATTATTTTTTTATATTTTTCTATTTATAGTAATGAAGCGGGAGATCGGTGTAAAGATGCCGAGTGTGTGGCAAGATGAACAGGTGGTTGTGTTCGATTGTTACCAGCGTCTCCAAGGTTACACTTACATCTCCATTATTGACCTTGACGAGTTTCTGTTACCAAGAAAACACAGCAACATAAAGAAAATGATGGTAATAAATCGTATTTTTGGTTGGCCAAATATAATATAGGAAATACACGTACAGTCAAGATTGGCAGAAGAATTAAACACATGTAGTGCTAAGGTTGAACAGTGCTTCAAATACGGGTTCCCTACATAATAAATATTTAGAAAATAAAATACATATTAATGAAGAGATACTGTTCGAGCCGTAGTATATATCCTCATTGTGGCCGTTTTTGGTTTCTGTATAGCGACATATACAATTAACAAGATCTGGGTACACCGGCTACCTTAGCCAATCAAAATGGATAATTAATACTATTTGATAACAAAATGTTCTTGAATGGATCTAAAAAGGGGCGCCTACGGGGGAACACCATCGGCCATGTTTTTGTCGGGTTAATTTAAGAACTTAGAAGTCAGTGTGTAGGCATTAGCTCTGTTTATATTCAAGAAGGAGTCTATTTCACAAACAAAAACACTAATTTTGGATACCTAGCTGAACAGCGATTATATGCATTTTTGGCGAGAGACTTGAGAGACTAAATACATGTAGAAAAAACATTTTGATGAAAGTATATCCTTTAAGGTTTTTTATATATCACACATTAAAAGAATATATATTATTTCTTTTGCAGAATGATATCACTAGACAGTACCCAAAAGCTGCTGGATTTACACTTAAAAGTTTTATTTTCGCAAAAGATTGGAATAAAACTGTAGCTACTAGTGGTTCTGACATTGTGCAATATTTACGGAGAACACCGGCTCTCTACACACGACAGAAAAATATCCTTATTCCAGGGCGGGTTCAACCAAAAAGTCTCGATACTCACGAGTTTGAGCCCGAGACTGGATATGAAAGGTAACGGACACTGCTGGTTCTTTTTAACTGCTCAATAAACTGTATTTTGTTTAAAGAAAACTTTCTTTATTTGGAAAAGATTTGAAAATATTTAAAGGCTCATTTTGCCTCATGAAATGATTTTTTTTTCAATTTTGGCGTACTTTAATAGCATCCAAAAAGTTATTCATTGGCCAATTACCTGAACCATCTTTTTTATCTGTTGCTTTTTGGCAATAAGTTTAGTTATAGTGAATTAGTATATTGTATGGTAGTCAAAATACTACTTTTTTTACATTTTACTACTTTTATGACAATTTTTTTTTCTCACAATTATCGTTACTTTCTTTAGGTAACAAGCATCTAACATTCTGTAATACAATTATCTAAACATTATAAAATTCATGTTAGCCATTTCAAAAGAAGTGATAAAAATTATTTATTTCTGAGGATAATGTGCCTTTAAATTAATATGAAGTTTAATATTAAATTGAAGTAAGTGAGGCCTATTCCGAGCACATAAAACGTAGTTATTTTTTTTCCATCCTTATAAGAATATTTTAGAACATGTGCTTTCAATATTAACAAAATCCAAACCATTATTATATAAAGTAGCAGAAAAAACTACTTCATTAAACATTAGCTAGAGTTACATGAATGATTGTTAAATTTTGCTCTTGTACAATATTGAACGAAGAATTTTATATCTTATAAATGTAAATGATATGACCTTAATAACATTATGTTTCATATAAATATCATTTCAGAATAAAACTACCGGAGTCTACAGCTGCACTAAATCATTACCGCACGTGCTATTCCGACTTCCGGAAATTATGCAGAAACAAGAAAAAGAGAATTTTTGATAAAGCAATTTTAAATGTGGTTGATAGATTTCGAAATAGAACTTTATGGATAAATGATGTTGGTATTTCATGATTTAAAGATTATGTTTCGTTAGGTATTCAAGTTATAAATGACTGGAGGAAACTTAAAATACATTCAATCACCGCGAGAACACTCGTGCGGCGATTTGCAAAATCACGTGGCAGCAGCAAGAAAAATTAAAACACGAGCGCTATCAATATTTTATAAATGTGTGTAAGATATTTTAACTTAACTGGTACTGTGTTAGCGTATTTTGTCTAAACTTTAGTTGTTTTATTATTTATATACAAGTGGCGTTATTCTTACCGGTATTTCTTCTGTTTATGTGTATAGTACGTGCCTGTAATATGGAGTTCATTTTAGCTTGTGAATTTGAAATTTTGCTATCATTAGATCTGATAAAAACAACAAATTAAAAGCTGTTTCTTTACTGAAATGGTTCTGTTATTTACAACGTCACATTCCGCAGGTGTTAAAACGTATTTTTTTTGCAATTCTTTCATTTATGTCTTAGAATTATTATTAGCATTTTACAGTAACGTTTTGTAAGCCAAGATAGATAAATAGCTAAATAATGTAAAAAGAACGATTTATAAGAAGATTGGTTGTTACAATATCAGTGCTGCATATTGAAATAAATGTTTACGATCTCCTAATTTTGTTGCTCTACAATGTTACTTTTTAAAAACACAAAATGCTATCTTGTTTCTTTTATATATTTTCTCATTTATAATATGAGCCGCGTCATGACAAAACCAACATAGTGCGTTTGCGACCAGCATGGATCCAGACAAGCATGCGCATCCGCACAGTCTGATCAGGATCCATGCTGTTCGCTATTAGTTTCTCTACTTGTAATAGGGTTGGTAAGCGAACAGCATGGATCCTGATCAGACTGCGCGGATGCGCAGGCTGGTTTGGATCCATGCTGGTCGCAAACGCACTATGTATGTTTTGTCATGACGCGGCTCATATAATGGTTATCCGATTATTCATTCATTTACAGGAAAACAAGGGAGGTAACTAAAGTATTAGTATTTAACTGGCGTTTTCAATAAATTTATCAAATTAAAAAGTGATCTTTTTAACTGTTCACAACAAAAATGACCATGAACGGTGAATATTTGTTGTTTATGTTGTCGCTGTTGTTTAGTCACGTTATATAAAGAATGAATCTGACATTTATTTCAGTTCATATAAACTTTTTTAAGACACTCATTAAGAACAAATGATCGTTTGCTCACTCATTGTCATGTGTATGTTACTTTTCCAGTCCTTCCAAATAGTCAAGTGATACTTCCTATGGACTAAAGATTTATTCGTTATCTGTTATATAACTTATATTTTATGAACAGAATAAATAAATTGGAGTATATTATGTTCACTTCTTAACAATAATGTATTGTCCTTGTAATTGTATGATTAATTAGAATACCAGTGTCTGTTAAGTCACTAAAATCTCTTTATAGAATTGGAATCTGATTTTGACAGACTTATGTTGTTTTTTTTTTTTTTTGAATTTTGCAAATTTTTGGTTAATGTGTTACGTGCAACATATTATTATTATATACTTTTTTTTACTATATTTCCATTGTTGTAAAGGGAACTCACCTTTTCCAGATTTTCTTTAATGTTTTTATTATTAACACGTTTTAATTTGATCAAAACACAATATCTAACAATAAAGTAACAATGGAAACTTCACAATTTATCCAGCATCGTATGCAAACACCAATAAACTAGCCTGTCAAGAAAAAAAATGCAATAAAGTAAAACATTATCTCATTATTGCACTGAAGGTCTTCAGTATCATTTTAATAACCTCGCATTGCAATTTAAATGCACCAATCAAACTTCTAAAAAATATCACGTGATTGCTGCTTGTGCTTCAATTAATGTACTATGTCATTTTTTGCTAGTCCATTGCTTGTTAATCACGGTGTGCTCTGTCTCTTTATAAGAATAAGTATTCCTTTTAAAAAATACACTTAAAAAATGAATGGCGTATGTTGTCATAAAAATTGAAAATAAAAACTCCCACATTTGCTCAATAACAAAACGAGCAAAAATAGAGAAAAGGGTCGCTAAAGAAGAACATCTAAAAAGGTAAAATTGAAAATATTGCTGGCTCTGTTTGAATGGGTATGTTCATGCTAGCTAATTTCCATGCCTCCAGTACTGGTTTAAGCAGAATTTAACAATTAACATGAAATGGTAAAATTTTAAATAAGGAAATATCGTATTGTACTAGTAATTTGTACGATTAAACAGAATACCAGTGTCTGTTAAGTCACTAAAATCTCTTTATAGAATTGGAATCTGATTTTGACTGAATTATGGCCCTTTTTGAACTTTGCAAATTCTTTGTTAATGTGTCACGTGCAATATTATTCTTCAAAACTAAAGATTTTCACTTGTAATTATATAGATGTTTGCAGGGTCATACCCAAGGACCATAACTCTTTCATGGATTTTGACTGAATTACGACTCTTTTTAAACTGAAAAATTCTTAGTTTAAGTTTCTGGCGCAACTTCAATCTTTATAACTATTGAAGGTATTTACTTGAAACTTTATACATGTCTTTGGTATCACAATTGGAGGTCACTGTCCAAGGTCAATAACTCTGACATGTATTTTGAATTGAAAGAAGAAATAAGACCCTTTGTGAGCATAGCTAATTTTACATCGAGCCCTGGGAATAGTCGAGCATGCTGTCCTATAGACGGCGCTTGTTGGGCTATTGTCCCGTCTACTAGAAGTTTTGGGTTTGTCATATCTTTATTAATAAATTAATTGTATACACAACAAACAATTAGAAAAGCTAATGGCAACAAATTTTTGCCGACAAATCCAAAATTTCAGCTCAATTTTATGCTTTAATAAAAAATATTCTATAGATAAAGAAAACATGTACATGAGAAAGGGTTTGACCTATTATAAAGAAAATAAAACAACTTCTGGCAGCTAATTTTTTTTAATTCTGTAGAAATGTCCTTTATAAAACAATTAAAACCAGATCTATAGATATCTGTACAATAATGACTTCATAAAAATACACGTATTTCGTAATGCAGGCGTCACACTGTCCCGAATTTGGCATCAGATGGACACACGAATAAGGAAATGTTCAAATTCGGATCTGATCGTAATAACATCGTGCCATTCGTGAGGGCTTCTTTTGCCATCGTATGATCCCCGGCTAAATATTTCAAGCTCCGGCAGCAACTTCGTGAGCGCTTCCAAAATCTTTTGCATGCCAAAAAATTGCCCGAAAGACATTGCGAAGGTTCATTTTCGTATTGAATTCATATGTCCATTTTGCCCATCGTAAGGCCGTCGTGAAGCCATCTTGTCAAAACGTGTAGTCTTAGTCTTTTCTTCGTGTGATCATCGGTGCAATCTGGCATTTTTTAGCCTCAAGAAGACAATACGAAGTAAACACGAAGATTCCCGAAAGTCTTAAAAGGGAACACGACTACGTGAAGCCCCCGCAATACCGTCGTGTCACCATCGTATTTTGGTACGATGTCATCGAGATGGGACCACGATGAGACCGAAGAAAGCAATTTTTAATGGCTCAAGCGTTGCATGTTTATCAAGTTGGACATATAAACGGCTAGACCATCTTCCTCATCTGTCTCTCTTGCATATCTCTACAGAGACATTCAAAAGCTTCCATTATTTGCAATTAATTTACAATTATTTTCAGTTTTATTTCCTGTAGAATGACATGCTTTGGTGATGAGTCAACCGAGAAAAAAGTAGGCAGCAGCATTGCTACTTTTAAAACACCTTAGAAAATATGATGAGGCCCACAGGCCCACCTTGGGTGGAATGATAAAGTTTAATCAAATATGATAACCAAGATCAACAAGGAAATGCAGCGTTTAATGAACGCAACACCCACACGACCCAGCAACAAGAACCAAGTAACACAAAAGGACCCCCCCCCCCCCTAGAAAAACGGGCAGGTCGCAAGGTAGAGCACGGATAGGCTTATCACTTAAATGATACATAAGACGAAATAATGGTAAACGACAAGGAAATCAAAGAAAAACAAATAAATGATTGATTTTATTAAATAAATAAAACTATGGGCAAAAGGGAAAATACTTATCGTAGACGAGAAAACAACAAGGGACACCGACAAAAGTGTCACCAAAACAGTATATGAAATAACAAAGACGTGCATCTGAGGAATAAAGAGGGGCGCCGCCTTGGACCGGTCAGCAGCATAAGTACTACTGGGGAGTTTAAACCAGTTAATGGTGCACCAAACCTCACTTTTAGCCCACCATGTTCCTATAAACGAGACGGTGTAAATAAAATTAATCCCCGCCAAGTAAATTTATAACAGTTGTTATGGTTTCAAAGATAAAATAAGTAAATCACCGAAATGATAATGTAGATACATAAAAAGGAATACTCATATGACCATAACAAATGTACTCAATATTTTAAAGGAAGACAGAGTAACAAAAAATTATCTACAAGGGCCCAACGAAGCAAGGCAGCAGACGAACATTTAGGCAATTAAGTTCCAAATGGCATTAAGAACTGTCCATCATTGAGTATCCCACTTGGTCCGTCAGATGTAATACAAAGAGGAAAGGACCAACTGTCAAAGTGTTGAACACTAAGCATGCGGAATAGTTGGTCCGTCAGATGTAATCAACAGAGGAAAGGACCAACTGTTAAAGTGTTGAACACTGAGCATGCGGTATATCTAAAAAAAGTAGGGTCAAAACCTCTTTTGGTTAAACGTTTAATAATTTTAGTAAAGGCCACCGAAAAATTACAATGACATCTCCATTAAAATCATTTTTGAATCACTATTTTCAAATCAAAGTAAAGATTGTAAAATTTTGTAAAATATTTACGTTATTTATAATAGCGGTAGCCCTGTTTGAGTAGCTTGCTAGTAAGAAAATATTTAGCTTGTTAAAACCCTTCACGTTTCTAAAAGCTCTAGCGAATCTAATTTACTGAGATACATATACCCCGTCATATGTTGCATGCGGTACGTCTCCATTTAAATGTGGATAGTTTACAATACCATAGTCAAAGTCATCACTTTTATCATAGATTTTTGTGTGAATAGAATTGTTTTTGATAGTAATATGAAGAGCCAAAATAAAGGTTAAACGTAGTTTAATTAGCTCCCGATACTATCTGCAACTGAAATGTGCTGCTGTTGGCCGTGGGTTGTATACCAAGTGGAGGTGAAGGTCACTTGACGCCTTCGTAACCACGTATGAAGGCATCGTACTCAAAATACGACGTCGTGTACCTATCCTGTGACCTTCGCGTGTCCTGCGGGTAAACTTCTTGGTACAAAATTGCATCTTTGAGGTGACTTCGTGTGTGTATCGGATGCGATCGCGTGACCTTCGGTAGGAATCGTGTGTGACTCGGATGCGATCGCGTGATCTTCTGTAGGAATCGTACTTGTTTCGGCTGTTAGGAGACTGTCGACCAATTTCGGGGCTATCTTCGCACGAAATTAAGAATTTCATATTCGTATGCCCATCTTGTGTCAATTTCGGGACAGTGTGACGCCTGCATAAAGTGAAATAAGACAATATGAATATATTCATTACAAGTATATTGTCATCGCAAAACTGATACTGTTGTACAAACTCGAGATAATGTTGCTTAATAGGTGAAATAATAGATAGACAAAGCTTACACTACGCTACATAATTACATTGATAAGGATATAGGTTGAATATACTTGAAGACAAAATGGATCTCGGAGTTGTATTATTTGTAATAGCTGTGGCAACTGGTAAGAGTTTTGTTCCTAAACAAAATTATTTAAGACATTTAGTTACACACATTATAGTTTTGCTTAAAAAAGAATCGTCAAAATTCATTAATTTAGGAACCATAACAGAGAAATAGTGTATAGACTATGACGTCATGACATCTTCGTTTTGGAATTCTACACCAGTTAACATGATCTATATTTAGTAAGCTGATTATTATTATTATTATTATATACCACATTTCTATAGCACTCTTTTCATAAATAATAAATGTTCAAGAGTGCTTTACATAAATCCGATAAAACATAATCATATATAAATAAGACATAATGTACAACATAAATTAAGTAAACCTATTAAACAATAATGATAATCTAAAACCAGTAAAGGATGGTAAGAAATACAGACACATTTAGTTTAAAATCAAGGCACATATAAAATTAACACTGATAATATAGCAAAAGTAGTACTTGATTTATGAACTAACGTCCATAGAACTTTATGAAATAATGTGTTTTGAGAGCTCTCTTAAAACATGGTAAGGTATTACAGTCTCTAATGTCAGGTGGTAACGCGTTCCATAATTTCGC